GACTTTTAATAGAAACATCTGAGCTAAAACATGAGAGTATCAACTTAAAATCATCCTAATGTAGATTTTATTGACCAGGTGACCTTAATGACCCTCCTAATCTCTGTCTCTGATGGACGACGGTCAGATATGTATGTCAAAGCCTGTGATCCTTCAACACAAACAGAAGCGGCTGGGATACAGATCATCTGTATTGTCTGAAATTAGTTTTTCCCTCAGGATGAAGGAGTGGAAACTGAGATCGTGAAGGCAGGCTGGATTGTCGTTAAAGACTCGCTCGTGCGCCATCGACCTGTTTGTGTTGCTTGTGTTTCTCAGCAACGGCAAACCAAATATTTCTCATCCATGAACGCTGTTCTGCAGACTGAATCAGCCAAATTCCTCACTCCAGTCTCCAGCTCAAGTCTTCAAACGTGTAAATAAACGCTGAACATGAAATGAGCCTTAAACTACAGCTGACACTGTTCCTCCATCAGTGTTATTTTAAAGGGGTCATGAACTGAGAAACCAAAATTCCCTTGATCTTTTCAGACCAGAGGCAGGTCTACGCAAGAACCAAACGATAAAGATAGCTCTGAAGACAACAAGATCTTTACATTGCCTTCCTTCTGATCCCAACGTAAGGAAAGAATGAATGAACTTTGTTTTTAATGAAGATCCAGACCACATCTGTAAGAACTCGGTCCTTTGTTCACTTCATTTTACCGCGGATTCGTTTACGAACAAGGCACAATTCGACGCGGGATTTTCAGAAAGATTGAGTCTACGATCCTCCACGCCTATTCAAACAGAGCGTTCTGATGAGGGTTAAAAACAGGACAGAAAATAGACTATTACTTCTGTATTTGAGGTTTTTTGATGTAAAAATCTTGATAACATTATAAGTGGATCTCAGAGAACAGTACAAAATAAAAAACAAAGGCAGTTCATGACCCCTTTAAGAGTGTTTGTCTGATATAACACACTGACTGTGTGTGTGTGTGTGTGTGTGTGTGTGTGTGTGTTTTACAGTAATAACACGCTCTGGAGTTCACTGGAAGAGCCTGATATCATAAACACCAAAGAATTTGAGGAGCTGTTCTCCAAAGCCATCGTCCAGCCCAAGAAGAAGCCGCTGTCAGACACGTACGAGAAGAAGAACAAAGCCAAGAAGGTACGAGAAATCATCAGCTCTGAGTCTGAGTTTACCTGAAAAATAATTTAAATCTGAAGTGTCTGTGTTTCTGTGACTGGCTCCTATGTGCTCACAGAGCGTTAGTCAGGAATAGATTTAGCTTTACAGTTTTTATCAGCTGCTTGCACACAAAATCTTTACTTGTCACACAATTTCTGAAAGCTGACACTCAAACAGCAGAAGCACACACCAAATCTGCAAAACCATACACTAATTCTCGGCCTTTCACTGTTTTCAATTTCATAAAACACTTTTTTGCAAAACACAACACACAGTTCTCTATGTAACACACAAAAATCGAACAGGAAGTATCTTGATTTTCTTCTTCAAACACAACCAATCAAAATGCCACACTAATTCATCACTAACTCCTCACATGTGCTAACCTGAAAACCAACCAATCATGCTTTAGAACAGGCCTATAAACACACATCTACACAACTACACATGCTTGATGTGTTTCTTTTCTTTTGTACTGTGTAATACTGTATTCACAACCACAAATGCTTACAGTAAAAAAAGTTTGCTTTCAATCTTGCTTTCGTGTTTACCGTGAATTTTTCAACATCTCTCTGCAAATTACTTTCAGTCTTGAACAGAAATGTACTCAGGAGCTCATGAAAGAAAAGCTTTAGGTTCTGAATAACTGTGTGTATATGACATATCCAAAAATATAATATTATGGCAAAGGTGTTTGCAACGTAAAACAAATGTTTGGTTTTGAGATGTGTTTGTTATATATTGAATGCAGTGCTTCATTTCGCAAAAGATGTGAGGCATTTTGCATTTTGTGTGTGCAATTCTTGGATTTGTGAGGCAAAGTTTTGAAAATTTGTGTAAGCAGTTGCAAAAAAAAAAACTGTAATTAAAGGAAGTCACATGGTTTTTCCACTAGAGGGGGTTTCAGTCATTGAGTTTGTTGAATCCTCCATTAACAGCGGTTATGGTGCTCATTGCTCTTTGAGGAACTTATGCTTAGTGCTTACATATAATAAGTTCGTTTGAGCCATTGTTCCCTTCATCCCCTCTGTGCTCCAGTGTTTAGTGTGGTTTTGATCAGACGTACAGGTTTGACCGTCTGCTGTGATTCCAGATCAGCAAAGATCAGCTCATCTGAGGTTTAAAAGACAATATGTGACCCTGGACAACAAAACCAGTCATAAGGGTCCATTTTTTAAAATCAGTATGAATAAATAATCTTTCCATTGATGTATGGTTTGTTAGGATAGGACAATATTTGGCCGAGATACAACTATTTGAAAATCTGGAATCTGAGGGTGCAAAAAAAAACAAAACAATATTGAGAAAATCATCTTTAAAGTTGTTCAAATTAAGTTCTTAGCAATGCATATTACTAATCAAAAATTAAGTTTTGATATATTTACGGTAGGAAATTTACAAAATATCTTCATGGAACATGATCTTTACTTAATGATTTTTGCATAAAAGAAAAATCGATAATTTTGACCCATACAATATATATACCCATAACAAATATACCCGTGCTACTTATGACTGGTTTTGTGGTCCAGGGTCACACACACATA